ATTTGCTCTCTTTGCAAGAGTGAGATGAAAAGGTAACACTCTCAAGTACGGACCTGGAGCTGGGAGGCAATTAGCGTAGCTTAGCATAAAAACTAAAATCAGAGGGGGAAACAGCTTGCTTTGCTCTCTCCAAAGTTTTAAAAAAACAACTCTAAAGTTCACACATTGTGTCTTGGATTTTCTATCACCAAACAATTCGCTCTTTTAAGTTGGGGTACTGCCCCGGCAAAGCCACTCTGGATGGAGTTTTTATTCCTTGCTTTCTTACATACTTGAGTTTATTTGAGTATTCTTTTATAGTCCCATTTTGTGTCTTTGTAAATGGCTCACTGTTTAATGTGTTTCCTGTTATGTGAGCCCAGGATGAGAGTGAACATTCACCATCTCGGATGGAGACTATAAAAGAGGTGAAATATTGCATAGAGAAATGATCGTTTTATCCCCAGAAGGGCTCATAAACTGTATGACTAATGTGTGCAGGAATGACCCACTCACGGTCCCCATAAAGTCTGGATAACAGGAAAATATGTGAGATTTTTTTTAATAATCTCTATTGATGGATTTGAGTAGACAGAACCAAAAGGTCATTTTGATTCTATAATATAAAAATCAGGGTATTTGTATTAAGAATTGAACGAACTTGACTGAATTTAATGAATATGTATCCATACTCTCAAAGAAAACATTTCCATTGCATGTATGCATACAATTTTCTATATGATGAATCTTGTTTGCCTGTTTGCTTCTCAAACTTTGCTCATTAAAAGTTTTTTTTTAAGTATATTTTTTATTGGATAGCACAGTAGAGGGAGACAGGAAATGGGGAGGCAGAGAGAGGGGGAATGACATGCAGTAAAGGGCCGTCCGATGCGGGATTCGAACCGGGGCCGACTGCAGCGAGGACTGTAGCCTCTACATATGGGGCGTCTGCTCAACCCACTGTGCCACTCGACGCCCTGCTCATTCAAACTTTTTGCATTTTTTTTTTCCCTTATTGAGCTGGCTGTCTGTCCAGATCTCTGTGCTTTTCAAGCACGGTAGTAAGTGCTGTCAGTTTCTCTGCTGATAAATAAACCTCCGATTGCTCTCCTGGCTCCCTCATAATTATGAATATGTGTGCAAACAGTATCCATTCGTGGTGGTCTGTGGAATTGGCATCGGTTTGGTCTCAAAATGGAAACGCTGCCTTTTGCAGCACTTCTATCAGATGCTGTTGAAAGAAAACCCACCAACCTCTGCACCCCCTGCAAACTCCCCTCCCTCCCCCATGCACGCAGCTGTCTGAATAATGAAGTCACCTCTCCCTCTTGGCTGCAGCCCAGGCGTAAAAAACAGTATTGTCAGCATCACAATGAGAAAGAACGAGGGTCCCTGCTTGGGAAACAAATGTGGTGTCCTTGTCCATCCGTCCCCCCACGCCCCAATCCCCAACACTGCTCCCCACCTCCTGTCGCCCTGTGACACACACCTTACCCCCACCCTCCCACACTCCACCAGCCCATCACTCACTGTCACTCTGTCATCCACTCTGAGGGAAAATGAAACCTGTAATGGAGGCTAACCTTCCCTTTCACCTCCCGTGACAAGCTCTGTCACTGCTGTCTGTTGCTCACACATGCAGAGCTAATATGCACATGCACACATTCAGTGCACATGCAAGTGTAACACGATACATGTGACGAGACTTTTCTTGGTCACACACACTAACCTTAATCCACAATGTTAATTCATAGCCCTTCCTTGGAATCGTAATCCACCCAAAATGTATTTGATTAATACATTGGCGCTCAGGTTTTACTTATTCACACGGAACGGAGGCTTGAATTCACAGTATCCAAGATGATCACAGCCTCTGTAAACATGCAAACCACATCTGAAGTCAACAGAGAGTGATTTCTTTGCTACTAAAAAAGGTAGATTTTAGGTGAAGTACCACTAACAGCAATTCTAACCTTAAATCCAGTAGTTTTTTCTGAGGGCATTTGTTCCTTTGACCAGTGAAGCCCTGCACAGCACTGTAGCTCTTAGTCTCGGCAGGCGAGGTTGGAGCCTCCGTGGCACAGACTTGTAACCCACTGAATCCTTTCATTCTATCAGGTGGGCTAACATTATTCTGCAGGTGTGAAGTCCAGGGGAACCCATATTGCTAGAATAATAATTTCCCAGTTCAGGCTATTTCCTGACATGGGGGCCGTGAGACATTGCACTGACACTGTGTTTGTAAACCTTGTCGGAGACCAGAATAAGATATTACCTCGGGAGGGCTGGAGCGGTCTTCGTTTAGAGGACACACGGATGATGCATTGCTTATATGAAATGATTAGAGGCAAAGAAGCATGACGTGGTGGCAAGTGCAGGCAATCTCTCAGGGTAAACCAGCTGGAAACCAAATTAAAATGGGCCTTTGGAACATGCAGGTTGGATAGCATGGCTAACCCCAGCAAAAAGGACTTTTCACTTCCCATTGCGTCCTAAAATGCATAGTATATCTGGGCTCGAGGATGGCGGAAAAATACATTGGACACACAGGGAAACCTCTTGTGAACACAACAAATGGGTTCAGCGCTTTCAGGACAGACAGCACTTTTTAGCTTACATCCTGCTACAGTATGATGTCTATGTTAAAAGGAAAATAAGTTTTTCCTGTTCTGTTGTTACAGTGTGGAATTAAAGTGGATTTTTTGGAGGGGTTGTACCATTCGATTTACACATCATGCCTACCAATCTGACAGTGCAACATGTTGTTTATTGTGACACAAACAAAAAATTAAGACAAAGAAAAACATAAATCTTGACAGTATCCCAGTTTTTCAGTTCCTCCCCACAGCATGATGCTGCCATCACCTTGATTCACTGTGGGAGTGGTGTTCTCGAGGTGATTGGAAATGTTGGGTTTGTGCTACACATAAGGTTTCCCATGATGGCTAAAAAGTTACATTTTACTCACATCTGACCTGAGAACCTTCAGCGGTGAGTTTGGGGAGTCTGCCACATGCTGTCTGGCAAACTCCAAATGTGTTTTCTTATTTTTTTCTTTAAGCAATGGCTTTTATTTCTTGGTCACTGTTCCCTAAAGGCTTAAGTGATCCTAAGGACAAATACTGCCTTCTCCGCTGAGGATCTTTGCAGCTGCTTCAGTATTCTCTTTGCTGTCTCTGTTGAATCTTATTAATACCCTTGTTGGCTTGTCTGTGAGTTTTGTCAGTTTTGTTCTAATGGATTTAATGGTGCTCCGTGGGATGTTCAAAGTTTGCTGTATGTGTTTGTCAGCCAACTGTGATCTATATTTCTCCACAACTGTGTCTGACCTGTTTGGAGAGCTCCTTGGTCTTCATGTTGCTTTCTCAGTGGTGTTGGAGACTCAGAACAATGATTGTCATGTGACAGACCATGTGACACTTTGATTGCACACAGGGGGACCTTAATTAGCTAATTATATGACTTCTGAAGTTAATTTGTTGGACCAGATCTTCTTTAGGGGTTCAATTAATATACAATCACAACTTTCCAGTTTTTCTTTGTTTTTAAATAAGGTATTTTTTTTCATTCCACTTCAAATATTTGGACAATTTTGTGAGGTCCATTACATAAAATCCAAATAAACATCCATTTTAATTCCAGGTTGTAATGCAACAAAACAGGAAAAACCCCAAATACTTTTGCAAGGCACTGTAGCTTCCAGGGTCCTGGTATGATGCAGTCTGGTTCGCTGTCATGGCTTACTGAGACACTTGATGTAACTGAGCCATTAACGATATTGTTACAATTTTTCCCATGCTTTCCGTTCTCACATGACACACATGCAGTTTACAAAGATAACGGCGGCAGATCTAACACTTGACATTCCTGTAATTTTTGTGAAACAATGGGTCCATAATTTCAGATTAGTGAGACGGGACGTTTTGAACAAACCCACCATTTTAAACAGCCAAGTGACTGTACGCAGCTCACTGTAGCCTGTTACACCTCTGTTAGTTATTGCACTGTACTTTTAATACGGCAACCAACAAAACCAGGCTGTGGTCAACTGGGGAGGTGCAGACGTTTCTGTTTTGTATCCATTTGATATCCTCCACTTTCAATGTGTCTGTTGCATTATGTCATGATAGCTTTGTGTTTCATCGCTATGGTAACAACGGCACATGGAGGGGGTAAGATCTGCAGTGGAAAAAGAAGTGACTGGTACCAAAAGTGTGTAGAGTTGAGGCGGTACTATACGGTGGAACAACACTGCAATGAAGCATTAATGTTAGCTTCCATGAATGGTTTGAAAAAACATCACCTCTGGCTGATTTTTAATCTTTCATCTGAATCATTTAAAATGAGAATCCTGTAAAACGGGACCTAAATATGTACTGGAGGGAAACATACTGTACATGATATTGTGCAATGACTGAGGCTCAGGCTGTATTCTCATCCATCCACAGCATTGCTCTACTGCAGTGCGGAGCTAGTTAGTCCTATATGTGTGAGGATCAGACTATTTTGTTGTTGTTTTTTTTTTTGAATCAACATAACCCTGGGCTGGCTACACACTTAAAAAAAGATAGTGGGTGTCTCTCAAACATGTTTTGAAACTCAGGTTTAAAGTATGTCAAGACATTTTCAGCCAAGTCATTCTTCCAATTCGGTCACATTTTTGAGAAAAACTAAACAAGTGAAAAAGTTTCTTTCTGAGTATAATAATTGGAAAGCTTTCAGAGCTTTCTGAAGAACTGTTATCCAGTGGGCGGTTAGAACAATTACAGTGCACAGGGCCAGAAACCAGATGGAGGCTTGAGGTGGTTGTAAGTGCAGGCACAACAAAAGACAGGCAATTGTACTGGTGTTGTTAGCAACTGGCTTTACAACAGTACAAAAGAAAATGTGTAGTTTTTATGTAACACACACAGTCAAGTACATTCAGGACGACAACATTTGACACTTAACTCTCTGAACTGACGACTGAAGTGGTGTCACCTCTGCGAAAGAGAAAGAAGTGAAAGTGAAAGAGAGTCGAGTCATCATAAAAATGATTTTATTATCCTAATTGTTATCAGAGGACGGATATCAATTTTCACTTTTTACAATATATTACTATCATTAGACTGATTTATACATTGTTTTATATATTAATAACTTTCAAATAATTTTGTACATGCTTTTGGGACTGACATTCCCTGGTCAGATGAAGCAGAAAAATGAGAAAAAAGGCACATGATTGCTCCTGTCCACAGTGAGCAATACAGTCCAAAGAAACAAAGAACTGTCGTGGTTTGTGTGAGTGCAGGTGAAATGCCTCCCGATCAGATTATGGGCCGTCCCTTTGAAGCCTATTACATGACTTGCCAAGGCAGCACAATATGTCCAAAGCAATTTTCCACATCACAGCCCAAAATAATCACTTTGATGTGGCAATTGATGACAATTATATCTTCTGATTTGGTCAGATGCACTCAGAAAAAGAAAACAAAAGAGACAACCACGCACGCCCTCTCTCTCATCTCTAGTTTTACAGTAAAAATAAAAGAATTACTGGGATGTTGAACCACTTTCGGGGGCAGCACTCAGGTGTCTTGTTACACTGTTCTATACATGTAGCTGAATGTCAGAAATGTGGGCCATTTCAAACAGCGCACACAGCTCAGTGGAACACATGAATTGATCATATTCTTCTTTAACACTCAGTGTTGGAAGCTCTGTGGCCTGAGGGAAGCTCGGTGTGCAGTGCAGTCTTGGGTGTGAAATACCACACACTAGCACCAGCAGTCCCTGCTCCTCTCTGAACTGTCCACAGTTGGAGACTCAAATTCCACTTGAAACAGTGCCCAAACTGTCTCAGAGGTTGTTCTCTGGCTTCAGTGCCTGGGATGCTTAATCCAGTTTCGTATCATCCACTTCTGACCAGAGCATCTCTGGACCACCAGACGAAGGCCAAAGTTGGCATCTTTGGACATTTCTACCTCCAAGCATCGACCAGTGTCCCTGCTGATGATTGGACCATTCTGCAACAACAACACATGGAAATATGACCGAATTCATGCAATAACCTTGAGGGAAAACAGATGGTTGCAACACAGAGTTGTTCACAGAATATGGCATCAATAACAGTTATTAGACATTCAGTAACATTTGTGTCACTCTCTTATTTTAGCTTTCTCTATGTTTGGTGTGTTTGAAGTGTCACAGTGTCTAAGATCGTCATGAAAAGGGCAGATTGTGTGTTTCCTTTTTTACCTGTGTAAAGTCCCAAAGTCTCTGGGAAATCCTTGAAACTGCATCGCATTTTTTCAGACTGGGAGTTCGTCCTCTGCCGTCGTCAACCAGACATTTTGTGTCAGGCAGGAAGGTGGTCGACCCCAGGGGTCCTAGCTGGAGAAGCCCCTCAGTAGAGTAGCGGGCCAGCTGCAACACGGAGATAACCAATGTGTTACACTGCCGGACTCAAGTACTGTAGCAGCAATCATCAGCTTTGAAAAACAAATACTCGACTTTTTAGAGAGCACCTCAATATCAGCGGGAACCACAAGCTGTAAATGTGCTACTGTGTGACAACTGAAGTCATTGTGCAGTGATGCTGTTCAGACAGACTGCTAACTACAGAGGCAGAGAGCAAGAAAAGTTTTTTAAAGCTTTGGCAAACAGAAAGGTTGTGATGCTTTCATTTTATATTTGATTATTTTACAGGATCTATAGGATAATACACAGAAGATGAGGATACAGTGCTGTACTCTGCCTTCAGATAATGTTCCCAGAATACAAGGGGAAGTCCTACCTTGTATCTACCTGTCTCAACAAAACATGTTCTTTCAGCTTTATTGACCATTTAAATTAGTTTGGTCATAAAAATGAACTTTATTTTGATTATTTAAAGCCAATATCTTCATCTTTTATGTATCAGTGTCTGTGTCTTCCATTAATATTAATACTGAAATCATTGTGAAAAAATAATTTATAATACAATACGTTTAAATGTGTGATTTAAACATAGTGTAATCACAGCATATTCAGAAGCTAAGATGGCAGCTATTGAGCTGCTATGATTAAATAGTTAAACTTGTTTCCCTCTGAGTGTTTGTGTCCACACTGATTGGATTTAGATGCTGCCTCGTTATCCACAGGATGGTAGTACATCAAAATGTTTTATTTACAAGCAAGGAAAAAATAACTTAATCTAGTTAGCCGTGGCTATATCACCAACTAGCTTTTACTTTGCTCTTTTGCTTTAGCTTTCTCATTGGCTGTTTCTCTGAATGGAGCCTCCTAGAGTCCACTGCTTACTAAACCAGGGTGTAGTTACTGCAGCTTGGTTTTTAAGTGTATTCTATAATAACTGCAAATTAACAAGCTGGTAACATTAATAATATTAATATGGTAAAGCAGATGCGAGAAAAGTCAGATAGAGAAAAATGTCCTACATTCAAAAAACAAGACTGTGTTTCTGTGTTGTTTTGTAGAATATGTCAGTTTAAAACACTGCATGGAAACCACAGTGTGCAGCTGATTAATGCCACAGCATTTCCCCAAACCTAAACTTGATCCCTCGCTGTTTAATCCTGCACATGAAAGGCTCTGTGACGATATGTATCTCTTACGTAAGGATACAGTAGAGATAGCATTGGTTATTTATGGGAGTGATCCCCTCTGAAAGATGAGATGGCGAAGATAGGGAGGTCTTCAATATGACAGCATGCCTGCTTTGAGGGGGAGCACACATACAGCACATGACTGTCCTGAATCTCTCGCTCTCTCTCTCTCTCTCTCACTCACTCACACACACACACACACACACACACACACACACACACACACACACACACACACACACACACACACACACACACACACACTCTGTTAAATCAGAGGGTAGGTATGTTATGTTATTCTCCAGTCCTGGACGGAATCAATGCAACAGAATGCCTTTGAATCCAGACTGTTATGAACAATGTGCCTTCCAGTGCTTTATTGATGAAAATATGCTGCATCGTTTTCTGTCCCAGTGTGATTGTTTTCCAGTCTTTAGGAACAGATTTCTGGATTAACCCCACTGTAAAAGCAGGCCCTTGTGACTATCATCAATCTCTTAAAGCTTCAAATGTAATATGAAGTAGTATGAAAATCTACTCTTGTGGTATATTGATATACAAATAAGCCCTGTTCAAGTACCTTTGTAAATCAATTTCAGCATGCAAAACTCTCTCCACACTGATATAACTTTGTCTGAGTGGAGGGTTTTGGAGCACAGATGGAGAAACTAAACCTGCGGTAAGTGGCCTGTGTGGGTGCTGCTCCTTGTGAGGAGAGAGAATGCAGGGGGTTTGTAATCCAATGTTCTGCCCTAAAGAACCACTCGGAACAAATAGGAAAACAATGAAGTGCCACTTTCTGTGTCACTCAAGGTTCACTGGAGCAGGTTGGGCTGCTCATGAGGATGCTGGTGAGGATCATTCTTTGCACTAAGGAATGGCAGACATCTATATAACCACATTTCAAACTCTCAGACTATAATGCAAGACATGTAGTGCGGTGAACTTGTGCTAGTTTTCTCAAGGTAGAAGCCTAAAGGTCGTCATGGTTTGATTAAGAAACCTTCATAGAATTTTGTACTGCTGTCTTGGGTCTTTTGGGGTTATATCTCTGTAAGCAGATTTATCCGTGGTGTAAACTGTGACTGGGCACAAGGAAAACCCTGATAATCCTCACTAATACCTGTTTACAGTTCAGTCTGGCAGCCTTTCATACGCTAATACATTTAAAATGGGACCATAAGAAATAATTAAGGCAAGGAAATGATTCTGCCAAGCCAATTAACCTGTGACTCATGCTGCAACATTAGACGCTCCATTGCCTTCCTGCCATCGTAAAAGTTTTGCAGCCACTTTGGAGGTCAAGCTAATCACTTGTTTCTTAATTAGCTCATTAATGGCGCAATGCTGTGACAATGTAAATATAAGATGGAGTGTTTGCCCATTGCACTGGGTTGTAATCTCCACATTTCTACCTATTCTAGTACCTTGCACCACCAGGAAGTTCAGTTTTTGCCACAGATTATAACAAACGTCTTAAGAAGGGCTTGGCTTGGGGCCTCAGCTCTGGAGCTTCAGCATGTGACTATAGTACAATGTAGCATGGGAATCTGAGCGAGCTTCTAACCTCCTCACAATCTTATATAGGGGAGACTTAAGAGGCCCCTGAGCATAACTGGTGGAGAGGGTGTCCATCAGCACCATGCACTTCACATAGCTGGGATTCCTTGTGAGAGAGAATGTGGTGGTGCAACAACCAACTTGAAGCAAATGCAATAATAGTACTTAAAATTTAAAGAAACTGATTTTTTGGGGAGTTTTTATGCCTTTATTTGATAGGGAAAGTGGAAAGACAGGAAATACGGGAGAAAGAGTCGGGGAGAGACAAGCAATAAAGGGTCCGGCCCCCGGGAGTCGTACCAGGAACCTGCTGCTCAGGGCTCATTATGCCCACATAGTACGTGCCATAACCACTCGGCCATTGGGACCGTCACTCTATAAATTATTTTGATGGCCATTCTCTTGCTATCTGTTTTCCACAGCTGCCTTATGCTGTATGAAAAGTTTTTCCTTCAGTTCATTAAATCCCTGCAGCCGTCTGAAAGCAGCAGGACACTTATGTTGATAAATTTGTGAGAAGTGCCACACCAGAGCTCAGTGCCATTACGCACCAGCCACTAAGTTTACTTCAACCACATGCAAATGACATAATTCTGCTGCAAAATAAAAACACACACATTAATGCACAATCATAGAGGATGGCTAAAACTTGGTATTCTGCCTGTTTCAGTGGGAGATTTCAATTTTGTTTTTTTGTTTTGTCACATTATTTATTATTGATGATGAACTGTTTACGACATGAGATACAGTACAATTATGATATTGTTGAATAATAAACACCCTCATTGAACTATTTTTCTTTTTTATAATTTGTTTCTACTGCTGTTGTACTAAAACCACCAGCCTTTGGCTGCAGATCTGTGGTGCTGTGTTCAGCATCCAGACAGCAGCAGTTTTCTGAAGAAGCATCTTTCCATTTGTTGAGCTACTGACTTCATGCTTCAGACTTCATGCTTCGTTGTGACTGGCACAGCCGTTTCAGAGACCAGTAATGTGACTGGCTGTGAATGTACTTATTAATCATCACGCCCTCTGATCTATATTCACCTTCACCCAGTCCAATTTGCACTTTGCACTGCTGCACATACAAGAACCATGGAAAAAGATGGATTATTACTTTAACAGACTACTGCCCTATTTATGTGTGTGTGTGTGTGTGTGTGTGTGTGTGTGTGTGTGTGTGTGTATGTGACTAGAGCAATGATGCAGCTTCGTAGTTCCTCCTTCCATGCTTTCACTGCATTATATTATTGGACAAAGGTGAGACATTATCTGTGATTTAGATTTCCACTGGGAGAGCCGGCAGAAAGAGACTCATTCCTCAGAAGCACAATAAAGATTTATTCTGGTCAATTACATTTTTTCATAAGTAAAAGGAGCAATGGTAAAAAGGAATGCAAAATCACAGCATCCCATGAAATTGAATTCGGCCCGCTCACAGTAATGTCGGCCATCACTGTAATCTAATGATACAAAGACACAAAATTAATCTCCATTTGTTTATTTCCCCTGGGGATCAGGATTAAAAGAGTCAGTGAAGCTTTACATTACTGGACTCCACTAAGCTTTCACTAGAGGAGAACAGAGAGACCAGTGAGTCTGGTGTCCCTATAACACACCCTCATATGACAGATAATGAGGATGTCACCAGCAAAAGTAAGAGAGTAAGAAAAAATGATGCATGAATAGCATTTGCATGATTTGTCTTCGGGATTGTCTTTTGTTTCTCTGCACAAAAACAGAACAACAGGCTCCCACCCACAGTGTCCTGGTATCTATTCAAGTAAAGGTTATACTGAGTGCACCTTCTTTTTTCAGCGGCATCAGCTGTGTGTTCACATAATTACATGCACTCTCACCTGGAGTGCCCCAGTTTCCCAGTGTTTCCTACTGAGCAGCTCAAATAGAGTCATTGGAGATCACCTGGCTCATTTTTTACCTTGTATTACAGTCACATCAGCATCTGAGTATTATTAAGCCAGTATAAACATTTATATGCATGTAAAGTAAACATGAAGCCCTGCAAAGATATGGTTCATTGTTATGCCAAATTGCCAAGACCTGTTCTGTAAAATATACTCTATTATTTGAGATTTACATTCTCTCTGTTTTAAAACAATATATCCATGGCTAGTTCCACTCATTTATATGAATTCTCTAAAGGAATCTTTGTTTTGAAGTCTTCAGACATGTCTGAAATCAAACATACAAATAAAGAAAATGAATTTGCAGGGAGATGAGAGAACATAAAAAGGCTCACTGATTACTTCTGCCAATAAACAAATTCAAACTATGTCTATATATATATATGTGTTATGTAATAAAAACAAGTCTTAAAAATGTAGATTCAAGTATTTTTTAAAACATTTGCTTCGAGACTTTAAGAACAGTCTAATTTTAACTGCATGAGAAAAAGACTTCCACAAGTTAGGATTCCCCTTTTCATGTTAAAATTGACCTCTGCTCATGAGACGGAGATTAGACGACTGAATGGATGAATAAGAGTGATAATTAGTAGAAATGATCTTGAAGATTTCCCTTGTTTAACTGCATGCTGTACTGTGTATACATTTTTATAATTGGAAAACATAAATATCATAAATTGTAAGAAGTTGAAAATAAAGAACTGGTGGGGTGGAAGGATTTAAGTGGGTGTGATTTCTGGAGCAGCAAACGTTTATGAAGAGATGTGAAAAACATACTGGCTCACACTAAGTTGCAGCATGAGAAGTGAGGATACACTTGACAACAAAATAACTTACTTTCCCAATCATAACAATAGATGTGGTGATTATTTTACAAACAAAATCAATGTGTGACTCTTCAATTCAGCCTCCCATGATTCTGCGGCTCAGTCTGATTTGAGGAATTAGATTATCATCAAGTGATTAATTTTTGGAATATGTTTTTAACCACTGAAATAATATGGTAAGACGCACACATTCATATCTGTTTATATGATCCACTGAGGTTATCACTTTACATTTAAAGATATTATATAAGTCATGGTTTCTTTCATTTAACATATAGTGCAGATACTATAGTATAGTATTTATTAGCGCCGTAACTGAGCATGTTGATTAATGCTTTCACATTTCTAAGTAAGTGCTAACGAATTATGGAAGCACATTTACAATCTCATTTCATATTCTCCAACTGTAATACCCTGAATCTGTTTTGAATCTTTATTGACTGCAGTAGTGCTACTTAACCAAGACAGGAGGCAAGGGGCCACACTGACATGTTTCTCTCTGAATGGAAAAAAAAGATGAGTTTATATCATGTATTTTTTTTTTCCAAAGCATTATTCATTACAGTCTGTTCAGGTTCTCTGAATTAAATTAAATTGACAACTTCAGCTTTGACTACGGAAGGCCACATTACACACATCTGTCTATCTTCATCTTGTATGCTATTTCTCTCCTTTATTTGCTCCTACACAGAGGTTACACCCACACAGGTTTAGAGGAAGTGTCATGTTGTGGTGTGTAATGACCATGTTTGATTATTATCCACCTGAACCTCCTCCAGTTTCTGTCTGTTTTAGGCAGTATACTGTTAGCATGCTAGTTAGCTTAACATGTTAGCTGAGAATGTAGCTGTTGCTTAATGATTCTCGGTTGAGAAATGTTTAAATGTTATAGTTATCCAGACAAAATGCAGCTCTTCCATTTATTTCTATATGTTCAAAGGGCAGTCTTGACTGGTCCAATATGGCAGCAACGTTGATGTGTTGCTGCCTGGGGTGAAGCTGAAGCAGCCAATTGCAAGTCTATGCGTGGACTGAGCAGCATGCTGCTAGTGATAGCAACAGTGTAGTTAGCTTTACATGGTTGTTATTAGCCTGCAGGCTGTTAGCTGATGAAAGGAGTTGTAGACAAAAGTATACATTCCACCCAAATTCAACTTTGAAAACTTGCACATATGCAGGGCCTACTAAATCCATCTTGCTAGTTCTCCATCCATGAGTGTCCTGACATAAATCTGTGGAAACTGACCTCCAGAAAACCTTTTTACGTAGAATATGAGTCCTGATTGAATCTACCCTCACACTTATTTCCATTTACAGCATGTACCTCCTGACTGTAGATTTCTAATCCACTGTATTTGCAGTTTATTTGAACAACTTCACTGGTCATTTGGTGTATCTTGTTATGTCTTGGGTGTGTCTCAGCTGTTCACTTAAAAGCTTCAACTGAGATGTGCGTGGGAGTTCATAAATCTGTTAAATGAGAAGCAATCAGACAAAATGCAAGAGCTACCATCACTTATTAGATAAAATTAGATTTAACTTTCTGTGGTAAAACGCAGAATATGTTGATTCACAAATCTGAGAAATAAAGAAGAGTGTTTATATTTAACAGGAGGGCAGTATAAAAAAACAAATATAAAAAATTACACACGTAGTGTTATTTTGGAAGAATCAGCACTACATTGACTGACTGACAGCTTAATTAATTTCATTATTGACTGATTGGCAAGAACACAGTAATGAAGATGAACACACAAACAGTCCAGAAGTGTGGTCTAACCTGGGAGGACATGCCGTGGCAGGGGTAAAGGATAGCTTTGTCGTCGTCCTCAGAGCCCTGGTCCAGGCAGTAGCCACTGGCCTTGCTGTTCCTCACCTGAAAGACAACACGGAGATACAGTTACTTAAACGAGGAAGGGAAAGAGGCAGTGTATAATGCAGGTCTGTGCATGGCCATAAGGACTTTGCTTTCTAGGAGCATTTTAATTTCAATGTTATGTCATTTCAATGTAACTTTATCAACGTCAGTTTGGTAAAACAGTGGCTCACTCACAAGAAACAATCAATTACCATGACCGATACAATGAAAAGCAGTCTCATGATGATCACTCCAATCAGAAAGCTAGGGGAAGCTATTCAATTCAAATATTTCTACATGAAAACAGACAATCAGAAATAAATGCAAAAGTCAAACCCTTTTTGTTGGAGCAGTTTCCTACCACTACTCAAAAATTACTTCCTTGTTACTGGCTGCTGTGGTTACATTTGCCACAGAATTGAAATAGAAAGAAAATCAGTTGCCAATTGTTTATTTAGCATTTCTCTAGTCTCTTGAATCTGACCATTTCATTCCTGAGTGCCTGTGAATGTTACACTGCTTCCTGTCTACCAGATCCACTGTGGCCTGTTCACACAGCAGAGTCTTATATCATCTCAAAGTCACGGCCAGGCCATGATAGGATATCATTATGCAGTGACCAGTCCCAGTTCTGTCTCTCTCTCTCCTCCAGGCCTCCAGATGGTGGTGTGCACTGAGCATGAGCTCCTGCTCTGTGTGATTTGAATGCATACGGCTTAATTTCCAGGTTGTGACATATCTATCATGTGCTGTTGTCAGGGAAGGTTCCACTCGGCTGGTCTGGTCAGCATGGTCGAGCATGGCACTGATCTTCAGTGACAGATGAGACTCACTTCTGCTGCGGCAGCTGTGTGGCAACACAAGGTAAGTGTTTCCCAGCTTGTCGACAGATCTGAAATAGTGCCACTTAAGTGGCTGCCGCTCCAAGGAATCCATTAGTTGGGTGCAAGAGCCAAAACAGGCGGCAGGAGAAACAAAGGAGGGAGTAAATTCACAGAGCATTGATGAATCTAGAGGTTAATTTTGATGTATTCTGACATTGCACTTGGATAGCATATTGATTTTCCTCTGTTTTTCATTGTTGAAATTGATATGAGGAAAAATGGTGCACTTCAGCAAACCTGAAAAGAGTGTCTGACTCTGGAGTGTGTTCAATTCTTCAGTGTCATAATCCTGTTTTCTTCCCTCACTGTGCTGAGTGCACAGCCAAGCCCAGAACAATCAAGTTCGATAGGAAAAGTAATAAGTGTTTAATTAAAACTCATTATGAGGAAATTGCATCTAATCCTGTGTGATGATGCTGCACTGCTATAGCAACGCAATACTAGAGATTACCAGCACCAATAGCATTTTTCTTGGCAAATTCCAATTTCCGATTTTTTTAAGAGTATGACCTCCCAATCCAATTTTTTCAAAAAAAACAACAAAAACTAAGAGCTATAATGGACAATTACATCAACATTTTGAAACTTTTATTTAATGGAAAAAAAAAAATAACATCTGTATGTTCATAATAAAACTGTGACTAATAACTATTAAATAACTAGGTGAAGGGCCCTCTCTGTGTCAAACATCATATAACTGCTGTCACTTTTCAGACTGCTCATCATCGATGGATGATTATTATTATAATTGATGGCCATAATCCAAGGCACAGCAGCAATGTGGAGGTGTGGACACAAATGCATGTGAGCTGCAGCAGTCAGCGAGGTAGTCCTCAAGCACAGGGGAGGTAAGTGGTGTGGTGCTAGTTTTAGCCGCTTTGCCTTTGCTATCTTCTTGAAGTTGGACGAGGGTGATGGTGTTTCAAACATCTGATGAAGTTTGTTGTTCTGAATGTCTTCCTCCACGGCTTACTTTGGCCTTACAGGTGTTACAAATTGCAAGCTTTGTGTCTTCCTCACTCACAGTGAAGAGCTTCCACGCTGACGGCATGTTGTGTGTGTGTATATATGTGTTTGTGTGTGTGTGTCAAGCTGTGCTGTTGTGTGCAAGACTTGAACCATCATGTGGCAAATGAGTGTAAGTTTGACCGGCACAGAATCGGATATCTGAGACTGATCGGCTGGTCACCAATTGTAGCTTATCGCACAGAAAACTGTCCTTTTCGATTACCAGCTGATCGATCGATGCATCTCTACGGGATACCTTTAGCTTAGACTGGTTACAATGAATTCATATTTATTTTTCTTTAAAGTTATGGAGGGTATGAGCCTCCACATCTGCTCATAGCAGCAAAATAAAGTAGACATCAACTAGCTGCTGACGTCCCTGTCAGACAAAGGTTTCTCAATAAAGACACCAGACATAGAAAAGATCCTGATAATGCACAGCTCACAAATTAATAAGTTCTCACTGACTCATTTTCTGCATTTATCATCTATGGAATCAAATTAGCTTTCTCTCTATGCATCCTCTTCAAACCACAGCTCTGTAATAGAATTACAGATGATGATATAGCAAAATTAGCATGCAGAGTATTTCTAGTAATCCTGTTAGCAAGTATCTTTCTCACCTCGCCATATGTGATGGTGTTGTTGTAGATCCGCATCTCTGGGTAGACATGCTCAAGGTACCAGCGGAAACTCCGACACTGTAGCCTCTTCCTTAAGGCCAAGCGCTCTGAGACATCCCCGAAATCAACCCCCGGGTTCTGTTAGCAAGTGGTACAAAACAAAGACGAAAAAAACTTCTTATCCAGCGGGCAATTTGCTTAAGAACCAAGAGAGAGACTGAGCTTCTGCAGAAACGGAAGACGCAAGAGTGTTGAGGTGGTGAGAGGACACAACAAGCATTTAGTCAAGAGATGGATAGATGTGCCTGTCATGTGGGACCATCATTGTTCTTTCATTAGACATGATCTGTGCTGAGCAAACTCTAATCAGCTGCTTAATTATGAGCCCTCACGGCCCTGCCTGCATTATGGAGGTGGCTTCCCAAATTGATTGGGGGAATGCCTAATAGCTGCACTGCCTGGCACAGAAGCCTGATCCTGACACACACACACACACACACACAGTTTGTGCATGGATATGCAAATATACAATATGTGCCTTCATATAGACAATGATCTAAAAGCATACACACACATGCACAGACACACATGCACAGACACACATGCACAGACACACACACACAGACACACACACACACACACACCACTAGCACCACACACAGTGTTCCCAGGCCAAGCTTTCTCATCAGTTCCCCCTCTCTGCTGGAACCTGCAGCCAGCTGCTAAACTTGCTCTCAACATCTGTTGATAATGAATTCTAGTTGGAAATACACTCTTTATTTTTTGGTTAGGAGAAAGTGCCACTAATAAATGAAGTCAATTTCAGTGAGATGTTTGGTATTTGGACCTGAGGCCAGGCCACTGTGGTGCATCATATAGCCTTCCCCCACCAAAGTAATTGTGCCCTCAGCGGGGACCTTAGACAATAACAAGAATCTGTGATCGTGTGTATGGGCGGGTTGGGAGGCGAGGGAGGGGGGTAGATGGAATAATCGTAGCGTTAGGTCTTTGTACTGTACACAAAATAACTCTGCACCACAGGACAGCTGGGGTAATAACGTGCCATGCCACTGTGTTTGTAATTACACTGGAGAAGGGATGTGGCCCGATTGGCTAGTTTGTCAAAGTTGCCCCCCCACCCCCCACCACTCCCCAACAAGTCCTCTATACTGCGCACACACACACACCCACACATAATGGCTACAACCTTTCCCCAGTCGGCACTTCCTACCTGCACTTAGTGCGTTTTCATATAATGATGTTTGTGCCAAACTTCTAGACATGCAGGCGTCAGCAGCATCAGACCTGTGTGTGACTGCTACACAGCCGCTTATTGTTTTGTTCTGAACAGCAGTGTGTTGTTTTGGTAAGTGTTCTGAGGTCTCCACTGATGTCCTTCGCTGACAATCATCTCAGTCTGCATGGCTGAGGAGGCAATTAGGATTCAACATTAAACTCTTTATTAATGAGAGTAGCTGTTTATTATTTTGCAGCCCATCTCAAAAGACCCTTGAAAGCAATTAATCTGGACTGATGTTTATGAAAATAGACTGATTAGATATGAGGCTCCTCTCGTTCACTTGGTGCACCTCTCTCATCTGTTTGGAGTCAGACTCCACCGCTTCCTCACATTGCCTTTGCTCTGCTGCCATTGTGAAGGTCAGGTGGGATGAAATCTGAATTTTGAATTTCTATTGACTAGTGTCTCCGGAGACCCGGCAGCATGTCTGAATGAGAAAGTGAGAGGGGAAGAGAGGGGGGCAAGAGGAGCATGATCTAAGATGGAGGAAAACTTACATTCATGGGAATATTCCATGCCATGTAGACGTGGGATTTGTATTCATCCATCCACACCTCAGCGGCCCGCAGGGCATTGCGCTTGGCGTAGTAATCTATGTCATTGTTGTAGGGCTTCTTGGTGCGCTCGATGTGGGCCACTCTGGCACATGGCAGGACTTCCATACTCCCTCCACACTGCCACACCTAGACAGCAGCAAGACAGAGAAATAATGAGTCAATCAATCAATTGCAGATTTCCACAAGAATTTCTTTACCGAGCTCTTTTTAAATACAAACAAATATAAAGGAAATGCTGGAAGTTGCTTCATTTCCACTTCATGGGTGCAGTGGAAATTAAAGTCTTCCACAGCCATCGTTTACTAGATTCTGATAAGTCAGATTGTGATCACTTTAAACTCAGCATCACAAAACAAACATGTTTTTTTTGACTGAAAATCATCCCTCCCCAGGTCCAAATATGATATCTTCAGGGGCAACGTCTTCATCATATTTTGGCTATTTAGAAATGTCAGTGCAGAGTCAGAGCACAGTGAGCATCAGGATTTGGGAGTGGGTTATGCTGCAGATATGGTTTAGGAAGTTTCTCTGGACATACTGAGACTTCTTTAATGAAAATGTGGGAGAGCATCAAGTTGTACACAGAGTCAGTTCACTTAAGGAGAAACACACTTGGATATCAGGTAGAAGGACGATTCTGATTTATTACAATTCAGTTCTTATTTTCAATGTTTTTGCCATTATTCTTGTCGAAAAAAACCAAACAATACACTCTATTCACTGCATTGAACTTTTAACAATATGAAATCTTGCATTGAATAATAGTCAAATGAATAAACTTTTCATTTTAACCACTTATCACTGCCGCTGAAGACCAGTAGTTTAAGGAGAAAAAAACACATTTTGATATCTTGCCACTATTGAGAGCACATTTAAAAACTGCCATAGATCAAGGTCAAACAAGCGTAAACATTAAATGTGTATTAACAGTAGCATCATGTTCATAACTGAACTTGCTGTAACAAATCATAGCTTTATGATGCAGCATAGTGCTTAGAATTTATATAAAGATATTTGTATGGACACACACAAATCTGCTGCTACATATTCCAGCTCAGAAAAGAGGCAAAATAAAAAGGTACAAGACACGCTCCCTCAGTACAGAAAGGGCAGCAGAGTGCAGCATGCCCAATGACCACGACAAAAAATGAATTTTTCACATTTTATTTTCTCATCAACTTTTCCTTTTAGCTACATATTCTTTGCTTAACATGGCACATGTGCTTGATGCTGCAATTAGGTGTCAATGTCTATTTTTTTCTGCCGAAGCAAGTGAAAGAGTGCGTGATAAATTGCTCTGTGCGCCTATGACCCATAGATACACAAGTCCTCAGAGAGTTACCTATGACAACCAGAAACCCCTGATACTATGCTGTACGGCATAAGGGATGATATAAAGCCAGGCAGTAAATATGTGTCATTTTGAAAAGCATCCATCACAGCAGAAAGTATTGATTGACTGTTGGCTGAGAGATGCTGTCACAGTCAACCGACATACCCAAGGTAAGAAAAACAGTGGCAGGCAGTCACATGGTAGTAAAACAGTCATTTCTCATAGTGCAGCAAAAGATTTCAATTTTAAAACTCTCTGCAAAATACTGTGAAACATCCTCCATTGATATACAGTCTGCACCTCTATGTCATGCTGGGAGAAAGTGGTCCAGCAGTTAGACACTAGTGCAACGCCATCAGAACGCCACAGCATATGGTAACGTCCTTCCAGACGTACAAACTGCAGAGGCTCCACCACCCACAGTCTCTTAATGATGATGGCCACAATGCGTAACAGATGTTCTGAGCCATTAACTTCTCTCTGAACCCAAAACGGTACCCCCTGCATGGTGTTAAAGGAGAAGGCTGCTGCAGGACTATTTTCTCAATTAAGTCCTGAGTAAGGGTGAAGCCTGTTTCAAGCTGACCGTGCTGTCATGGAAGTAAACACAGCTTCTAGAAGCATGCACGGAGTAGTTTATTCAAACTCCCGAGTTTACAGCAGTGTCACTGAAGTTATAGCAACAAACACTGACGTCAGGTATGGGCCTTCTCATTCTCCTCTTCTGTGCAGTTGTGTGAATGGTATGTTAAACCAACATAGAACATGACGCCAACATGTAAATGCTCTGAAGATGATTAAAATGTATTTTGAGAATGTGGTTTAGTTATTAAGAAATGAATATGAATTCCCAGTTAAGACTCAGCTTTTCAGTTTCGTGGGATGAGAGAAAATCTTAAGTAATAGGAAGGTGTGCATAAAAATAGCAAACAATATTTAAGTCTTTAGAAATTAAGGAGTACTTCAGCCTCATCAGGTTAATCGGGATCTACTAATGAAAGCATAAGACTGGCCATATTCTTTATTTTCTCAATGCTGTCTGACTTCCTAACTCTGTCAGTGGCTTTCAGTCCCAAAATTTATTGAGGACGTGACTTTAAAAACAGTTCAGGAATATATTCAAAGAGAAAAAAAATTAAAACAGCTAAAAAAGTTCCTAACAGAGCAGGACGGTGTAGTTTTTAGCAAAGGTTAGTCAGACAGGAGTAAATAGTGTGTCTGTCGGGGACTGTTATAGCCGTGGATTAATAGGCATTTGGTGCTCTAGTGAGTATTTCCAGCAGCAGAACGGTGTATGTGGGATTGCCTAAAAATAAACTGCAGCGCCCACGCTGATCGTAACGAAAGGAACATGTCACCCGGGGAAACCAGTGTTACTCACTGATGTGGTTTTAATTGTTTTAACGGCACTCTATAGCACAGAGGATTAAGATACATTAGGTTTCACGTGCACAGACAACACTTCTCAGAAGAATCAATGGTGGTTTTGAGATTTGTTGACAGTAGGAATAAAATTGACTATCATTCATCTTTCAAGTCTGTTTTCAAGCAACTTTTCATTATTTACTATACAGAATCACTTATCTGGTAATTAATAGTTTGTTCCTTACTTGTTCCATGGTAACTACCCAGTATTTTCTGTATCTTATTATAAAGTGTTATCTAATAACTAGGACACGATTGTTACACAATAATATTAGAAACATCATTTGGCTTTAATTCAGTTTTGTAACCTACAGTGTTCAGGCAAGCAGAGCCTTTGTTAAGATAGCAGGAGGCCAAATGAAATCACCAGAGTAAGCTGTATCAACTTGTGCTCCTGTGGGCTGGCACGACGTTTGAACCAGTAAGCCTTGAGCCATATGGCCAAGTGTACAGTGTTCATGGAAATGAGACACTATCAAACATTTACACAAGTCCCATTTATCATCATTTACATGTTCCTGTAATGCTCAGGGGTGTATGAAAGCTTGCGTTTAATTGGACATTAATAAAGGCATTTAAGGCATCTGTCCTCTGTTTTTCTCTTTTACCCTGAAACCCTTTAATGTCTCAGTTGTGTCAGTGGTGGAGTAGTTTGCCAAGGTCTGACCTGAACTGAAACACCTCCATTGAATGCCTGACCCCTCATCTTCACTGCTGATGACCCGCAGTGACCCTGGCCTAAAAAATCCATTAGTACTTTAGAGTAGGCTTTACCTGCTTTGCTGCTGCCCATGTCAAGTACTGCTTTTTCACAATAGCCTTCATGGTTGCTGCATTTGTGTGGGTGTAAGTGCAATACCAATTTAAGGGTAAGTCTCTAGTTCTTGCAGATTCCACCCATCACCTTTTGTAACATAGTAAGCTCCTTGTAATGCCGTCTTTCTTTGGTTTCTTTATCCAGGTTTCCGGTTTAAAATCAATAGTGTGTGTGTGTGTGTGTGTGTGTGTGTGTGTGTGTGTGTGTGTGTGTGTGTGTGTGTGTAAATATCTATGTGTGTTAAGTGCTTGTGGATATGTGCACTGAGTAGCCTACTCATGGATAATTGAAAATGTGTATATGTGTAATTGCAGTTAGCAGTTTGCCCGGCACTAAAAGCAAATTGAAGATCAATATTTCTCAACCACCATTTCCAGAAGGTCAGAAACCTAATAGCTAACTAAGCTTGTGAAACAGGCTGTAGTTTCTGTGCATTAACTTAGGCTTCATGTGGTGCGGCTAACAGAAGCAACACAAGTTTTTGTGTCAGTAATAAGGAAAAGAAATTATTTCTAGTGTGTATTGTTAAAAACACAAAATGAGGCTGAAGTTTGATCAAGTGTTGATTTCTTTTTTTCTCCATATGGTAGCAGCAATGCTCAGACTCCACTGCACATTGTTTTCACTGTACCAGCTAGACAGCTGACAATACTAATGGGTGATGTGGCTGTAATCATCTCAATAAGCATAATTTGTTTTAATTATATATCACAACATGGTTTGCTATAAATTGCAAGCTAAGTAAACTGCAGGAAACTATTAAACAAAGTTCCATTGCTATATTATCTATCAGTTTTGGCTGCTGCTCTGAGATCCAAATACATTAGGGCAGAAAAAGACTATTCCAACAGTGTTACAGCACTGAACAAAGATAAAATGGCTGATTTAATTGAGCTCCTGTAGCTCCTACATTCTACGCTCTGTTTACCTCTGGGTAAGACTGTAAAGCAGTGTACTTTGTTAGTCAATATCCCTCAGTATAATTAGTGTGACGGATTTTGTGTGTTTCGAATGTGCACGAATGCCTGAAGGTCACAATAACATGGGAAACACTACAAAAACGTCACATCAGAAGAAGTGGAAGCCATATTGCTGCTACAGCTCAGAGGACCTCATGTATAGACAGCTTGAACCTCAGATGTCACATCTAAGATGACAAGTACAGAGTCAGGAGTAGTGGTGCCTCTCTGTGTTGCCAGTGTTTTATATTCTGTCTAGATTGTGAAAGACACAAAGAATAACATCAGTACAATGTATTGTTTGCCTTTGTTGAAATGTGGATGTGGAGATAAGCATGGTGACGGGATGAGCACCTTGTAAAAAGTCATTTCCATCTTCCTTCAACAAGAGGTTCCTTCACCAACCAGTGACACTCTTTTAGATTTGAAGGTTATAAACATTTACACAGCTTCTTGATCCAGGTATTTTATCTATAAGGAAAGAAAAACCAACTTCCTTGCAGACGATGATGCATTTTTTCCCTTGTTAGAGCCTCTGTGTCAGGACCCCTGCTCAGCCAAGAAATGATGCATGAATGTACAGCAGAACGAA